CAGCTTCCGTAGGAATAGCCTCCTGCCAGATGCCATGGTAGCCCAAATCCTTGATTTGCTTCTGTAGCGTTGCAAGTCTTGGCCCAACAGCATGATGCTCCTGGACCGCGGTGATACTGCTGGGCGGTCCAGCAGCCAAAAACTCGACGAGGGGGCCACCGCTGGATACGCTAACCCTGGCGACCACGCCCCTGATGTCGACCCCCTCACTACCTTCACGCAAACCGCGTGCGCGTCCTGACTTTGTTGTTCTCTCAGCTGCATCGAGCGCCAGCGAGGAGGAGACTGCCGCAGGCACTGCCGCCTGCTGCGAAAAGGAAGATGCCGACGCCATTGCCGCCGATCCATGAGATACTCCCAGCGTGCACGTCATCACGCTGACTACAAACAACACACGAGTCACCATATTACAACAGCAAGTGCCAAGAGAACGGCGACCAGTGTTTGATTGCATGCACGTTCTTGGCCATGGAGCGAAGGTCCGCCTCGTCCTTCGGCAACTCCCCGAGGAAGTCGAGCTTCTCCAAGCTAGTGCGCAGCACGCCAACATCACAGTTGTCGAAATCGGGGGAGGTAGGTTCGTCAACAATCTCCACGTCCTCCGCCCGAGGTCGCTTGGCCGCTGGCGTCTCGCCTTGCGAGGCCTCATCCCGCGCTCGCATCGGTAGATGCAGTTGCGCCACCAGCGGGTTCGCCTCGACGGTTGCCGCGAGCTCCCCCGAGACCCCAGCCGCTTGTAGAATTCTGTCCAGCACTTCCAGGTTGAATTGCCCCCCTGCGTCGCGATCAGAATCATGATCTGGAGGCTTAGCCACCCCACTGCCAAGAGCCCGCAACTGGCCCTCGAGGTCGGCAATGGCGCAGCGCTGTGCCTCCACCTTCTCCGAGTAAAGATTGACCTCCTCCTGTAGCTTCTCCAGCTCCAGCTTCTTGGTCATGCTTGCCTTGGTGAGCTTCTCCAGCTTAGAACTATCGATCTGCAGCTTCGTGGAGAGCTGACTGATCTGGATGCTGACGGGTTGCTTGGACCGCTGCAACGCAATACATTCAGCCTTCGCTTTAGCATGCTGCTCAGCGATGGCGTCCATCCCGACAACTCCCACACACGCCGCATGCATCCTCTCATACGCCTCGATCTGTGCCTGCAGCGCCTTGTCCTCGTCATCGTCCACGAGCTTCGTGGTGCCCAGCTCCACCTGAGGCTGCGCACCTGCTGCCGAAGTGCGGGCTTGCTGCCGTCGAAGCCCCGCAACTTCGGCCTCCAGCTCTGCGAGGTACTTGGACTGGCTCCCCATAGCGGGCCCTCCCCCTCTGGCGCGGCGGAGCCATGGGGCGCGGACCGACGGGGACTCGGGCTCGACAGCACGGAGAAAGCAGGAGCCCTTGTGCAAGCCCCCACGCCCGTCCTTGGCCCTCCCAGAACAGTACATGCGCCATCCAGGATTGACCCAAGGCTTGCCAGAGCACTGCACACAATAGCGGCACTGCCAATCGTGCTTCTCGGCATCGCGCCCTGCCATGTGGTGCTGGGTCCATGACGTGGGACCGTGGTGCGGAGACAGCAGGCGGCAGCGTTCAGCTCCCCGCCTGCAAACCGGTGGTGACCTCCTTGTGAGGCCGAAAGCGTAGGAGCTTTGAGCCGCTCCTTTGGCTGCAAACAAGCTCCCAGCGCGAAAGCAACGTTGGGAACTTGAGCCAAAATGGCTACGGAGGAAGATGAGGAGGAGGAGGAGGAGGAACAGGAGGAGGAGGAGGAGATTGTCGGTTTACACAGCCTTGAGGGTGGCTGGGCCCTATCAGAGGGGGGGCACAATTTGTCCGCTTGCTGGGCGGAGCGAAGACAGCATAGCAGCGCAGAGAAGTACATAGAGAGCGCAGCTCACGCAGAGGACGGGGGGAGGAGGAGGGCGAGGAGGAGGAGGACGACGAGGAGGAGGAGGAGGAGGAGGACGACGACGAGGAGGACGAGGAGGAGAAGGTGGAGGAGCAGGAGGAGGAGGAGGAGGAGGAGGGAGGGGGAGGGGGAGAACGGGGGACGAGGAAGAGGAGGAGGAGGAGGAGGAGGAGGAGGAGGGAGGGAGGGAGGAGGGAGGAGGGGAAGGAAGAAGAGGAGGGGGGGTGAGTGTGAGGAGGAGGTGGCGGTGGTTGTCGTGGACGAGAAGGAGGAGGTGCACGATCAGGAGGGCGGACGGGTTGGATGAATAGAGGAAGAGGAGGAGGAGGAGGAGAGGAGGAGGCGGAGGAGGAGGAGCAGGAGGAGGAGGAGGAGGAGGAGGAGGAGGGGGAGGAGGAGAAGAGGAGGAGGAGAAACAGGAGGATGAAGAGGAGGAGCAGGAGCAGGAGCACGAGCAGGAGCAGGAGGCGGAGCAGGAGGAGGATGAGGGAGGAGGAGGAGGAGGAGGAGGAGGACGACGACGAGGAGGACGAGGAGGAGGAGGAGGAGGGAGGGGGAGGGGGAGAACGGGGACGAGGAAGAGGAGGGGAGGAGGAGGAGGAGGAGGAGGAGGAGGAGGAGGAGGAGGAGGGGAAGGAAGAGGAGGAGGAGAGAAGAAACGGAGGACGAGGAGGAGGAGGAGAGGAGGAGGAGGAGGAGGAGGAGGAGGAGGAGGAGAGGAGGAGGAAGGAGCAGGAGCAGGAGCAGCTGCAGGAGGAGGAGGAGGGGGAGGAGCAGGAAGAGGAGGAGGAGGAAAGGGAGGAGGAGAAGGTGGACGAGGAAGGAGAAGGAGGAGGAGGAGGAGCAGGAGCAGTGGCAGGAGCAGGCGAGGAGGAGGAGCAGGAGGAGCAGGAGGAGGAGGTCGAAGAATGGGAGGCGGAGGAGGCGGAAGAGGGGGAGGAGGAAGAAGAGGAGGACGGGGAGGAGGACGACGGAGGGCAGATCGAGGATGAGGCTGAGGAGAAGGACGGGGGAGGAGGAGGAGGAGGAGGAGGAGGAGGAGGAGGAGGAGGAAGAGGGCGAACAGGAGGAGAAGGAGGATGAAGAAGGGGAGGAGGAGTGGGAGGAGGAGTGGGGCGACGTCGTCCAACCCCACCTGTCCTTAATGTGCTGGCGTTCGAAGACTTTCGGACTTTCGCTAAGCGGATTGGTGCATCCTGCAGTTTTTCAACAATTAACAGCAGTAAGAACTCTCTATGTCCTGCGCATCGGTCAGACCCGCCAGTGCCTTGGTTGTGGGTCTCCTCTCTTTTTGTTGCCATTGCCACCACTTCTAGGGGAGGAGGGGGAGCGGAGGAGGGTTTCGAGCATTAGGGTGCATGCGCGCGCGTGTTTGCCCGCAGTGCGCGCGCGCTTTCATTGGAAGGGGAAGCTCGGTGAATCCACCTCCTGTCTCCGAGCGTGCTGTGTCCGAGCGTGCTGGATCCAGCTCTTTTCTCCTTCGCGTCCTCTTCGTTCTTCTCCTGCTCCTTGTTCTCCTTCTGCCGCTCCGCGTGTCCGCGTTTGTCCGCCTGCAGCGGTGACAGGGAACGAAAAGAAAGAGCTTCCCAAAGGAAGGAGGAGCAAGAAGGGGAAAAACAGGAGGACGGCGAGGACGAGAAGGAGGAGGGCAATGAGGAGAAATGAACAAGGAATATGGAGGGGAGGACGAGGTGGAGGAGGAGGAGGAGGAGGAGGAGGAGGGGGAGGAGGGAGACGGAGGGGAATTTGGCGGGAGCAGCAGAAGCAGAGGAAGTAGGATCAGGACAGGGCGAAGGAGGAGGAGGAGGAGGAGGAGCAGCAGCAGCAGCAGCAGGAGGAGGAGGAGGAGGAGGAGATGAGCCAGAAGGAGGAGGAGAAGGACAAGGCAGGAAGGGAGGAGAAGCAATCGGCTCGGGAAGAGGAGAGAGAGAGAGAGAGAGAAGCGAAGAGGAGAAGGATGAGGAGGAGGAGCGAAGCAGGAGCCGAAGGAGAGGGAGGAGGAGCAGCAGGAGGAGAAGCCTACGCGGGTGATCGGGAAACACTGACTAAAGCTTGCGTCCTACAAGGGGACTTCCCCCCAGGACTCCCCCCCGGGTTTCCTCCAGGACGAGATGACAGGGAACGGGTTCCTCTTCCCGGGACTGCAAAGGCAAAAGAGGGGAAGGGGGAGAACGAGGAGGACCGGGAGCTGGAGGAGGAGAAGGAGGAGGAAGAGGGAGAAAGAGGAGAAGGAGCAGGGGCACGGGAAAGGACACCAGGAGGAATAGGAGGTGGAGGAGGAGAAGGAAGAGGTGGAGGAAGAGGAGAGAAGGAGGAGGAGGAAGAGGAAAAGGAACCGGGGGAAAAGGAGAAGGAGGAGCAGGAGGAGCAGGAGCAAGAGCCGCCGCGCGAAGTCGCAAAACAATGGCAGCACGCCCGATAGCCGTCCAGCGGCCACCCCCGGATCCTTTGCGCGGGGGAGGGGGGAGGAGATAAGGAGAAGGAGTGGACAATCACATAACCCCCGGGACCCCCCTGGGACTAATTACCCCCAGGACCACCCAGGACCCCCCCCGGGACCCCCACCCCAGCCCCGGGAAGGGATCCAAGGGAAGGGCTTCGCCTTCACCTCGGAGAAAGAAGGGGAGCTGTTGGAGTGGGGGCCCCTAGTAACGAAACAATCACATAACCCCCGGGACAACCCCTGGGACCACCCCCCGGGACCACCCCCCGGACCACCCCCGGGGACCCCCCCCCGCCCCGGCAAGGGATCCAAGGGAAAGGCTTCGCCTTCACCTCCATGTGAACGATGTTCTGTGGCGTAGTGGCTGGAGTGGATTGCAGCAGGAGGGATGGCGGCGACCACGCGAACGAAAGCGTCTCGCACACGCCGACAGGGTCGGCGGATTTTCTCATAAACGCTTGCGCTTTCTTTGCTTGTTTATTCGCGCGGCCTTGGAGTTCGAATTTCGGAGGACGCAGGGAGGGAGAACAGGGGGATGGATAAAAGGGAAGTGGAAGGAGGGGTAGGGTGAGAGAGGGTGGCGACCTGCGGGGAGCGAAGGAAAGAGGAGAGGCAATGAGGGAGAGCGAGAGAGAGGGAGGGTTCCCTGTCACTCCTGGCAAGGACGGCGGGGACATCGCCTTCGAGCGGTTCGATCAGGCTTCAACCACCGCCCTCCCCCCCACGCCCGCTGGCCAGAGGCGCGCAGAAAGGAGGGAGCGGCGCGAGGGGAGGGGGCGTCGGAGAAGGCCAGGGGGGCAATGCTCTCCGAGGGGCCTCCTCCGGAGGGGCTGCGGCACCTGTAGAGGAGCCCGAGGCAGCAGCAGAGCTTCGAGAGAGGAGGCCCCAGGAGAAGTGCTCTTCTGCGGACGGCCTTCAGTCAGAAGGGCCCAGGGCAGCTTTGGAGGGCTCGAGAGGAGGAAGGTTGATGATTCATCTGATTCATCTTGTGATGAAGGACGAGAGATGGGGGAGGGGAGGAAGAGGAGAAGCAGCAGGAGCAGGATGCTCCCCCCTTCACCTGCCTCCCGCCTCCTGCTCCTCCCCCCTCCGCGTCCTTCTCGCACCCTTCCTGCTTACCGAAAACGCCTCCAGCGAGTCACCGCCACCCCCTGCCTCGTGGAGACGTATGTGCCGTGACATGCCGAGCGGAAGTGCGGCCAAACTCGTGGGCTGCGTGTCCCCCCCCCCAGCTCTTGGGGAAACCATTGGGGGGGGAGATTGGGGAGGGACCGTCATAGGGGTTACCTTCGGGGCCGCTTGGACCTTCTATAGCCGTCTTGGGGCCCTCTTGGGCTGTCTTAGGGCGCTCCTAGGCCACCTGGCGCCTTCGGGTGCCGTCTGGGAGCCTCCATGGGTTGGGCCGTCTTGGGGACTCGAGGTCCGCTTGGGGCTTTTCTGGGCCATCTTGAGCTGGCATTGGGGGCATGTTGGGGCCTTCCTTGACGCTCTTGAGACGTGCAACACTAAAAAGCCATGAGCTAGTTATCCAATATTGATTTGTCTCTCGGAGGCCTTCTTAGGAGCCTTGTGGAGGCCTCCTCAGGCCACTTGAAGCCGTCTTAGGGCTGTCTTGGAGGCCCCCGGACAGAGCCAACTTGGAGGCCATTCGGGCCATCTTGGGCCGATTTCATGGCGGCCAAGACCATTTTGAAGACGCTTTGGGATATTGGGCGGAGCGGCGATTGAAGACCTTGTAGGCGGGGTGGGGGGTGCCGCGATAGGGCCAGTGGTAACTTGTAAGAGGGACAAAAAAAAATAGTCTGAACGCTTGCACGCCGACCATTCTTGTGGCAGTCGACGGGGGCCAGCAGATCTGGTGGCTTTCGGCCCATCCCGCCAGCCTGCCGAGGTTGTTGACAAGATCGGGGAAACGTAAGACTCGAGTTCACCGCAATTCGGGTTTGCCGGCGCTTTTTGACGGGCACATCCTGGGTTTTGACGGTCCAGTTCTTCTCGTGGGATGTTTGCGGCGAAAGTTCGCGTCAAATATCAGATTGGGTCTCGTCGTTTTTGTCAGACGACTTCGCAAGGCCAACTCGAGTCCTCCGAGCTCGAGTCTCAGGTTTATCCGATGAGGGGTACTTGGGGTGCCTCCTGGTTAGCCTTCTGAGGCCGCGCGGGAGCCTCCGTGGGGCCTGCGCACCACTTGCATCAACAGCCACGGGAGGGCAGCCGCATCATCGATGCCGCGGCTCAGCATATCGACCCCCAGCTTCTGTCATCCGACTCTAAACTTCCACCTCCACCCATTGACCTTCAGAACCCACCAGCTCAGCATTCCGACCCCGAGACTCCAGCATCCGACTTTCCACTTCCACCTCCATCTTTCGACTCTCAACGTCCACCATGTCAGCATTCCGACCTCCAGCCTCTAGCATCCGACTCTCCATTTCCACCTCAATCTGTCGATTCTCAGCGTCCACCATCTCAGCATTCCGACCTCCAGCCTCTAGCATCCGACTTTCCACTTCCACCTCCATCTCTCGATTCTCAGCGCCCACCAGTTCAGCACTCCGACCTCCAGCCTCCAGCATCCGACCCACCATTTCCACCTCCACCCATTGACCTCCAGCGTCCACCATTTCAGCATTCCGATGTCCAGCATGCAGCATCCGACTTTCCACTTCCACCTCCATCTATCGATTCCCAGCGTCCACCAATACAGTATTCCGACCTCCAGCTTCTAGCATCCGACCCCCCGTTCCCACCTCCACCCATTGACTTCCAGCGTCCACCAGTCCAGGACTCCGACCTCCAACCTCGAGCATCTGACTCTCAACCTCCTTCTCCATCTACCGTTTCCCAGCGTCCACCTCAGCATTCTGAACTCCAGCCTCTAGTATCCGACTCTGCCGGTTCACCCCCACCAATCGACCTCCAGCGCCCACTAACTCAGCATTCCAACCTCCAGCGTCCAACATGGGGAGGAACAGGAGGAGGACGAAACGCATACGACGGAGTGTCCGGCGACGTTCCGTTTTGCATTCTTCAGCAACGACGCGCGAGATCCGATTCCAGCCAGGCTTGGGCGACCCAACCAATCGACCTCCAACAAAAAATCCGTCTCCCAACTTCCTGCCTCATCCGCCTCTAGCGCTCGACCTACGCCCACCGACTCGCAGCCTCAACCGGTCGACCTCCAACCACCAGGTTCCGGTTCCCATCGTCCGCAGCAATCCACTTCCAGTACAGCTCAAGATACATGTAGCAGTCTTACGATCATACACGAGAACGCACGGTCATTGAACGACGACCGCATAGATGAGGCCATCAGCGAGTTACACACGACACATTGGGACATGATATTGTTCAACGAGATTTGGAGGACAACGAATTCAGAGATATGGGAAACTACCAGTGGCCATATGTTTGCAGGCTCTGGCCATGAGCAACCAATCCACGGAGTCGGGATGCTGGTGCACAAACGATGGAAGAAGCACATCCAGAATTTCCAAGCTATAAGCCCAAGACTGGCAACGCTGCACATACGACGAGGCTCTGTCAAGCTTACGTTGGTTGCCGCGTATTTTCCGCACACGGGGTACTCCGACCACCACGTTCAGAACATGTACACGCTCATATCTGCATTGCACGCTGAAGCGCGCAACCAGAAGTACAACACAGTCTTAGCAGGCGACTTCAACGCACAAGTTGGGTATCTAGAGGCAGCCCCGCCAACGCACGACGACGTCGACGATCAGTTCAACGACGGCCCAACGTTCGATTCCAGGCACATTGGCAACCACACGTACGGGCAATGCGACTCGAGAGGAGCTTGGCTACGAGCGTGGGCATCCAAGGAGCGCCTTGTTGCTGTCAACAAATTTTTCCGCAAGCAGGTACCGAAGCTGACGACGTACACGCACAACAATGGCACCGAGGAGCAGATCGATTACATTTTGACCTCTAGACGTTTGTTCCGATGCGGTCGTAACGCAGAGGCAAACAACATGCTGAATTTGGGGTCGGACCATAAAGCGGTGTTCGCGCAGTTTTGTTTGACACGACGTCCGGCCGACAAGCGGAAACAAACGAGACCACCACGAAGCGCCATCATTTGCGGATGGAATGACATAGACACCGGCATGTACATTGTGACAGTCACGGACAAATTCACGACTGCAGACCTACCGCGAATCCAGAGGAGCTCAACGAGCATATCCAAAAAACAATAGTGGAAGCAGCATCGGCCAGCAAAAAAACACCCAACCGACTGCAACCACACCCCCAGACCCAGACACACCTGCAAGAACTCATAAACATAAGACAAAGCACACCCAACCATGACACGCACGCGCGACAGCAAATCAGCAAGCAAATCCGACAAGAGATCCGACGCAACAAACGGGCTACAAGACGAACACAGATTGGTAAACTCTTGGGCGAATACCGAGGGCTGAAACGAATCACTGCGATCAAATCGAGACGGAGGCGCACGCTCATCACAGGAATGCGTGGCGCAGATGGAAATATGCAAACAGGCAAGGAGTCCATTGCAAACGTCTTCGCGGACTTCTACGAGCAGCTGTACCACTCCACTCGACCAGCCGCGTCACTGGACCACCACGGCGACACCATACCACCGTTTACACCGCAAGAACTAGACAAAGCACTAACCACCCTCAAGCGTGGCAAAGCACCAGACCAGAGCGGAATCAGGGCGGAAATGTTGAAACAGGCGCCGCCGGAATTGAAGCAAGCTATCCTGCTGCTCTACAACACCACTCTCCTACCAGATGCACCAACCCCGCAAAGTTGGCGACAGACGGTCATCACAGTCATTCCCAAAACAGGCGACCTTACACAACCTCAGAAATACCTCCCAATTTGCAGCATATCCCCATTATACCAGCTCCTCTGCAAATGTTTGTACATCAGACTGCAGCCGCAGTTGGACAAGCAGCAACCTCTTGACCAAGCAGGCTTCCGCCCTGGGCGATCCACGCAAGCCTATTTGCTCACGTTCCACATTCTCTGGGAAAGAACACGCGAGTGGAACCAGCCCCTTTGGATCGCAGCACTCGGCTTCAAGAAAGCATGCGACACTGTGGAGCACGAAAGTCTCTGGGCGGCACTTGGAAGCCAGGGCATCATAGCAGACTACACCCACCTGTTAAAGCGGCTCTACTCTGAGCAAGCAGCGACAGTACAAACAGACTCAGCCAGCCGCCCATTTCATCTACTGAGAGGCACGAAAGAGGGTGACCCGCTCAGCTCACTGCTCTTTTTTCGCTTCTTGAATACATAAAGAGATCGCTCGTCACCAAATGGCAAAAACGCACCCAGGGAGTCCAACTTGGATTCTCACCAGAATGCTGCTTCACGAACCTTCGCTTCGCTGACGACGTTCTCCTCATGAGTCGGACGCTCCCTCGCCTCGCCACTAGGCTAAAGGACACTGCCGCAGCAGCACGGACGCATGGACTTCATATACATCCCGACAAAGCGAGGATCCTGTCCAGTTTGTCAGAACGCACGGGGAGGGCACGTCAACGCAAAATGGCGATCCATGGCCTCGACATCGAGATCTTACCATACTCTGGTTCAGTGAAGCATCTGGGTCAGCGCATCAGCTTCGACGACACAAGTGCCACAGAGGTAAAGAACCGCCTGAAGGCAGGAAGGGCAGGGTGGGCAAGTTTCATTGGAAAACATTATCCGCCGAAACAACGACTCCGTCTTTTTGACGGCGCGGTCACGCCGATTGTCCTGTATGGCGCAGGTACTTGGACGTTGAGTGAGCCTTTGCGACAGCAGCTACAACGCACACAACGGCGCATGCAACGCATGGTTATCTGCACTCCTCGACGACGAAACACCGACGTCAGACCAACGCCCGGCGCGACCAGCCCACAAGAGCCACCCTCGACGCCAGTTTTAGTATCGGGCACAAACAGCACCGACGGAGAAGATGTAGACAGTAACCCACCGACCGCCCACTTGAGCAACGAAACCGACGACGCGGATCACGACAATACCGACGACAGCCAGGACAACCAGCCAAGAAACGATGGTTTGGAGCCATGGGTTGAATACATCAAGCGAGCGACTCGACAAGTGGAGGCCCCCATGCAAAAATATACGCTACACGATTGGGTGACAACGTAAAAACAGACGGCATGGAGATGCGCAGCCCGCGCTGCGAAGCAATTACCACATGAATGGCCACAACGTGTTCTTCAGTGGCACCCGAGCCTTCGCGCTTCCCGGACTGGACAGCGTCATCATGGAGGGCAGTGGAAGAGATGGGACGATGATATCCGCGGGATTCTCCGCCGGCTCCACGACGCAGACAACCAACGCCAGACGCCGCGAAGGCACCACGACCTCAATGACACCACGTGGCTACAACCGGCTACGACACAGGAGTGAGATCAATTGGAGAAGAATTTTGTAAAGTACGCACGCCCCTGAGTAGGCGACCGGCTGGCGCAAGTTCTCACGCGAGGACACAGACACATCTAGCAGCAGCAGGATTGCCTCACCAGGACCAGCCTCAACTTTCACATCCAGCTCGGCCTTCCGACCTCCGCCCCCCAGCACCCCACTCCCCCACTTCCATCTCCACCTGTCAACCTCCAGCGCCCACCAGTTCAGCATTCCGACCTCCAGCCCCTAGCGTTCGACTCCCCGCTTCCACTTCAATTTTTCGACCTCCCAACCTCCACCAGCTCAACATTACGACCTCCAGCCTCTAGCATCCGACTTTCCACTTCCACCTCCACCCATCGACCTCCAGCGCCCACCGGGTCACCATTCCAACCACCAACATGCAGCATCCGACATTCCACCCCCACCTCCACCGATCGACCTCCAATGCCCATCAGCTCAACACTGTGACCTCCAACCTCTAACATCCGACTCTCCACTTCCAGCTCCACCAATCGACCTCCAGCGCACACCAGTTCAGCACTCCGACTTACAATCTCCAGCATCCAATTCTCACAGCAGGCACAAGCAGGCAGTTTGGTTCAAGCACTTCTGGCACAAGCAGGCAGCTTTGGCACGCCAGCCGTTCGTGTATTGCATACGTTTGCATCATGTTGCGACAGCTGCGTGCATTCCTGAGTGGCAGAAGAACGCTCACATGTTACTTAATACCGGCCGTGCAAAAATCTCCAGCATCCGACTCTCCATTTCCGCATCCATTTATCGACCTCCAGCGTCCTTCAACTCAACATTACGACCTCCAACCTCTAGCATACGACTCTTCACCTCCACCTCCACCGATCGACTTCCCTATCTCCACTAGTTCAACATTACGACCTCCAACTTCCAGCGACCGACTTCCACTTCCACATCCACCTATCGACCTCCAGCGTCCATCAACTCAACACTACGACCTCCAACCTCTAGCATACGACTCTTCACTTCTACCTCCACCGATCGACCTCCAGCGTCCACCAGCTCAGCACTCCGACCTCCAATCCCTAGCATCCGACTCTCCACTTTAAATTCCACCGATCGACTTGCAACGTTCACCAGCTCAACATTACGACCTCCAACCTCCAGCATGCGACTGTCTGCTTCCACCTCCACCGATTGACCTCCCAACCTCCACCAGTTCAGCATTCCAACCTCCAACCTCCAGCATCTAACTTTCCATGTTCCTCTCCACTAATCGACCTCCAGCGTCCACCATGTCAACACTCCGACTTGCAATCTCCAGCACCCGACTCTCCACCTCCATTTCCACATATCGACCTCCAACGATCACCAGCTCAACATTAAGACCTCCAACCTCCAGCATCCGACTCTCCACTTCAAGCTCGACCAATCGGCCTCCAGCGTCCACCAGCTCAGCGCTCCGACCACAAACGTCGAGCACCTGACTTTCGATCCACCTCCACCTATCGACCTCCAGCGCCCAACAGCCCCGCATTCCGACCTCCAGCATCTAGCATCCCACTCTCCATTCCCACCTCTATGCATCGACTTCCGACGCCCACCAAATCAGCATTCCAACAACCAACCTTTAGCATCCGACTCTCGACTTCTACCTCCACCAATCGACCTCCACCCTCCACCAGCACAACATCCCGACCTCGAATTTCTACCCTCCGATTTCCCGTTTCCACCGTCAATCGACCTCCAGCGTATGTGTTTTCGGCTGCGCGTGTATTTGCGCCCTGAGTAGTATCCGAAGGATGTGACTGGATTGGAATTCCGAGGCGTTCAACTCGTTCGTGTTTGGCTTGGGCTTCGCGGTTACAGAAAGGACGATGACATCCACGGGATTTTCCGACAGGTTTATGCCAGAGACACTACGACTTCAACGAAACTACGTCACTACATCGGATTACAACAGAGGGGTGGGAACAATTGGAACATCAACATGTGAGGTACGCATTATCCTGAGCAAGCCTCCGACGCGCGCTGCCCCTCATGCGAGGCCATGGCCTCACCCGCCTCGCCCTTAAGGGACCCGGACGCATGCCCGCACAGGCGATCCGATCCGATGCCGCTCGAGCGTTGGCTGCTTCGCGCAACTCCCTCAAGCGAGGCCTACAGTCAACCCGCCTAGCAAAGATGCGCAACTTCCCAAAGTTACCCCTGCATCCTTCCCCTTCGGCCCATCCTTGGCCACTTTCGCTGGCCGCGCCCCGCTCGCGAAGTGTCGACATGGCCTTCCAAGGACCTTGCATCGTTATCGTGCGTCCTTATTGCGAAGGCCTTACGGCTGGTACCGCCGACCCTGAAGAGGACGAAGATGAAAGGGACGGGGGGGTGCAGGGGGAGGAGGAGGAGGAGTGGCAGGAGGAGGAGGAAGGGGTGCATCGGTCGAATTTTCTCGTCTGATGTCTCCTTTCGCTGCGGCTTATACTGCCTGAGGGAGGGATGAGGAGGAGGAGGAGGAGGAGGAGAAGGAGGAGGAGGAGGAGGGGTGGGAAGGAGGAGAAAGAGGAGGGAACAAGTCCCTGGCATCCTTATCGTGCGCCCTTATTAAGTTATACGGGTTGACTGTGACCACAGCACCCCCCTGGAGCTCGCTTGCCGCCTCCCCGCAGCGGCGGCGGCGCCCCATCGCCGCGCGGCAGGCCGACGGCAGCCTCTACCTGCGGCTGCAGGGCTCGTGCTCCGGCTGCGCGCAGTCGCACGCGACGCTGCAGGAACCGCCACGCCCAGCGCGCGCGCGCGCCTTCGGGAGGGGGAGGGGGGGGGCCCTCCTCCCCCCTCGTCCCGCCCCCTCCTCCTCATCATCATCCTCCTCCTCGTCCTCCTCCTCCTCCTCCTCCTTCCTCCTCCTCCTCCTCCTCCTCCTCCTCCTCCTCCTCCTCCTCCTCCTCCTCCTCCTCCTCCTCCTCTCACCATCCCTCCTCCTGATTCTCCTGACTCCCTCTTCTCCTCCTCGTCATCCTCCTCTGTCTGCCTTCTCGTCCTCACCCTCGCCCCCTTTCTATCTCCTCCCCCTACCCCCCCCTCCTCGTCGAGGAGGGGGAGGAGGAGGCGAACGGGGGCGGGGGTCCACGAGGGGACGCGCGGCGAGAGGCGGTGGGCCCAACAGAGGCTCGCAACGGGCGCGGAGGCCATGGCGGGGGCGGGAGTCCTCCTCCTCCCCCTCCCCTTCGTCGAATCTGCTGCCCTCTCATTAGGATTCCATGGATGAGATTATTGCAGTGGTTTGTCTCGGGTTGCGATACCCTGGAAACTCAGGGCGGACTGGTGGTCCGAAACTCGCGGCTGTTAAGTCGGTCCTAGGGCGCCTCGTTCAGTCAAGATCTGGAGCCAAGCCTTTTCAGGTGTCTGATCTGATCCTTCTCATCGAGGAGGAGAGGAGGAGGAGGAGGAGGAGGAGGAGGAGGAGCAGGAGTGGCTCGGCGAGTGGAGCGGCGGCCCAGAGGAGACTCGGCGAGACGGTGGGCCGAGGGAGAGATCGGCACGCGCCTCGGCGAGGCGTTGGGACCGCGCACAGACAGCCCCGAGGGACCGCCCCGGCTGGCCTCCACAGGTCCTCGGGGGCCGCCCGGCGGCGCGGGGGTGGTGAGACCGTCCCAGGCTACCCTTAGGACGGAGGTGCTTGGAACCCCCCAGAGGAGCAGGAAGAGGAGCACGGTCATGGAGTTCTGAGACGGGGGTCAATGCTAACGGGGGTCAGCCAGAGCGCCCGATCTTGCAGGATCTTGCAGGGCCAGGCTCGCACTGACATTGGTTTGGGTGCAGGATCCTGCAGGATGTTGCAGGATCCTTCGCGTTGACCCGGGTTTGGGTGCAGAATCTTGCAGGATCCTGAAAGGTTCGATAGACCCGGGCTGGATTGACCCGCGTCGGGGCAGACGATCCCCGAGCACGGTCATGGAGCATCCATCGGTCTCGATTTTGCGCGCGCCCTTAGGGCCCATAAATCTCCCCCCAACATCTTGGAAGTTGCTCGACATCCAGCGATTCACGGCACTCTTAGGAGTGCGGACGGTCCACATTTCGCAGTGCGTGTTTGGAGCCCAGGCCAGGAAGGACAAGACACTTCGCGGGGGTCCACATCCTTGCCGTTTGGGACATCGGTTCAAGGAATGGCAGGACATGTGCACGGGAGGGAAAATCATTGCATGCTCTTGGAGGGGTTGGATGAGGAGAGAATTGTGCATTGCGCACGCCAAGTGTTATCTTGCCCCCATGTGTGAGTTGCTCGCCTCGGCCTTCACTCGTCAGAAGGGGGTCAGGCGCCCCGAGCTGGCGGGAGAATGGGGCGGTTCCCCCTCGGACTTCGCTGGCCGCCACCCCCTGACTGAGACCCCAGGGACGCAAGCCTCTGTCCTCCTGCGCAAAACTGCCCTCCACCCCCCAGTCAGTCCCTTCCTCCTCATGCATTGAATCATTTCTTCTTTGGAATGGGCTGCGTTTATCTCGATCGTCTTTGGGTTGCGAGCGAACAAGTGAGGATGAGCAGGAGCTTGTCAAAACCAGCCAGGTCCAGGAGCTCTTAGGAGCAGGAGGCCGTCTGCGCGCAGCCCCGACGGCTTGACGGCGCGATTGAAACGGCTTGCCGCGTGGATGTTCGCAGCCCTACCGCGGCGCTCGGCCCTCGGAGTCGGGCTGGCCCGTGCGCGCCCGCAGGAAGGCGTCAGAAACTTGTTTCTGCACTACATCCCCGAGGCGCCCCCCCCGCCCCCCCCCTCCGCCACTGAGCCGACCGCCCCCGCGGTCCCCCTTCCCCGGCCACCTCTCCCTCTCCCGTTCTTCCCCTCCCGTCGCACCTTCGCCTCCAGTCCTCAGGCCCCCGCTCACCATCCTCTCCCTCGTCCCCCTTTCGGCCCACCCCCGCCCAGTCGGAGTGGGGAGGATTGGAGAGGACGGGAAAGAGAGAGAAGAGAGAAGTTGGGGAGGCGACGGGGTGAGAGGAGGGCAGGCTATGATGATGGTGATGTTGATGATGCGATGATGATCACGATGATGATCACGATGATGATCACGATGATGATCACGATGATGATCACGATGATGATCACGATGATGATCACGATGATGATCACGATGATGATCACGATGATGATCACGATGATGATCACGATGATGATCACGATGATGATCACGATGATGATCACATGATGATGATGATGATGATGATGATGATGATGATGATGATGATGATGATGATGATGATGATGATGATGATGATGATGATGATGATGATGATGATGATGATGATGATGATGATGATGATGATGATGATGATGATGATGATGATGATGATGATGATGATGATGATGATGATGATGATGATGATGATGATGATGATGATGATGATGATGATGGTGGTGGTGGTGGTGGTGGTGGTGGTGGTGGTGATGGTGGTGATGGTGATGGTGATGGTGATGGTGGTGGTGGTGGTGGTAATGGTGATGGTGATGGTGATGGTGATGGTGATGGTGATGGTGATGGTGATGGTGATGATGCTGATGCTGATGCCAATGCCGATGCCGATGCCGATGCAGAGATGATGATGATGATGATGCTGCTGCTGATGCTGTTGCTGATGGTGATGATGATGATGGTGATGATGATGACGACGATGATGATGGTGACGATGATAATGGTAATGAGGTTGGGGATGGGGATGAAGATGAGGATGAGGATGAGGATGAGATGATGATAGCGACGACGATGATGATGATGACGATGATGACGATGATGACAATGATGACGATGATGACGACGATGATGACGATGATGACGACGATGACGACGATGACGATGACGATGACGATGACGACGACGACGACGATGACGTTGACGATGACGATGACGATGATGACCATGATGATGATGCTGCTGATGATGATGACGATGACGACAATGATGGTGATGGTGATGATGATGGTGATTGTAATGGTGATGATGATGGTGATGATGATGACGATGATGACGATAATGATGGTGGTGGTAATGATGCTGATGTTGATGATGGTGATGATGATGATGATGATAATGATGATGATGACGGTGATGGTGATGGTGATGGTGATGGTGGTGATGATGGTGTTGGTGATGGTGGTGGTGATGGTGATGGTGATGGTGATGATGATCGTGAGGAGAATGGTGATGGTGATGGTGAGGAGGAGGAGGAGGAGGAGGAGAATGGAGAGGGGGCAGAGCGGGGTGGAGGAATGGGAGTTGGACCCACTCCCGCTCCTCCGCTCCACGTTCCCGATCCCCTGCCCCCTCTCCGAGAGTTCCGAGCGCTGGGCGCTTCCTGCTGCAGGGCCCCCCTCCAGCAGCAGAGCTCCCGCCTCACCGCGGCTTCGACGACGAAGACGACGACGAGGTCCGGGCCCTCGCCCTCCTCGCGCCTGGAACGGCCAGGAGGACCAGAGCGGTCGGTGCCGACGCGAGCAAGTCTGCTCTGGAGCCCCCACCGAGGCTGTGCTTCTGGAAGGGTGAGCACTGGCCGCGCCGGTCGGACGCGCTCCCCCGACATCGAGGGCATCGCCGTGAAAGAGAGGGTCCTGGAAGAGAGATGGTCATAGAGGTCTTTCTCCGTTTTCTGTCTCGCAAGGCTCGAAGGAGAAAAAGCGCATGATTGGATACAGGTTGTCGGAGCTTCTCCTGGGTATCTCGGGTCGGCGCTGTGTCCCCTGGGCGGCGCTTCTGGCGCCGCCCATGGCGCGCTCCGCGCTCCAGGGAGGCGGGCCCAGCGCCGATCCGAGAAGTCCGCGCGAAGCTCCGCTCTTCTGTCCCCTTTTACCACGGGGCCACCAAGAAGTACCTGGGACGAAGGAGAGGTCCAGGAGGAACGCCCCGAGGTCCAGGTCGGGAGCCTTGAGACGGGGGTCAATGCAAACGGGGGTCAGCCAGAGCGACCGATCTTGCAGGATCCTGCAGGGCCAGGGTCGCATTGACCTGGGCTTGGGTGCAGGACCCTGCAGGATCTTGCGGTATCTTTCGCGTTGACTTGGGTTTGGGTGCAGGATTATGCAAGGCCTGACTGTCCCGGGTCTGGATCGACCTGGGTCAGAAAATCCCGACCAGGACCCGTTTCCCTCGGGACCCCCTCGTGCCAGCGGCATCGGGCGAGGGCGCTCCAGAGAGCAAAGGTCCGTGGAGCTCTCGCCGCTCCTGCCACCCCGTCCCTCTCGCCAGAGCCGCCGGGCGAGGTGAAGCAGATCGTCGGCATGGCCGAGGAGGAGGAGGACCGCGGCGCCCGTGGGGCCTGGGGTTCAGTCGGGCCTGTCCCTCTACAGGGGGAATATTCAGAAATAGTCCAAAAATAGTCCGGGGACGATGTTTTGACTGTTTGTGATTATTTTTGATTATGGTTGGGGGGATGTTTTATGTTTCGTCCAAAATCCCATTGTGGGAGGAGGAGGACCGCGGCGCCCGCTGGGCCCGGGGCGTCACCGTCGCACTCCGTGCCGCGCTTCGATGTGTGGGCTGTGCAGCGCGTCTGCCCACAGGGCATCCGGACTCCAGACTTCAGTCGGGCACGTCCTCTACAGGAGGAAGATCAACAAATAGGCAAAAAGTAGTCTGGGGACGATTTTGTCTACTATTTGGGGGCATTTTGGGAGTAATTGTTTTTTGGGCGTTTTTTACTTTTCGCCCAAAATCCGCCTGTAGGAGGACACGCCCGACCTAAATCTAGACTCCAGACATCACCGCCGTGCAATGGCCACGGCCGTCGTGGGCCTTGTGGGACGGCGTGCCGTCCACTTGTGCACTCCAACTCGGATAGCAGGGCGCCAGCCGTGGTGACTGCTCTCGAGGATGCTTTGAACTGCTTGCACGGGTACACGCACCCAGCGTAGCATGATGTTTATCCTAAGTTCGCTAGTTTCCTCTATTCCCCACCCCGTACACTGTCAGCAGCTTGCGGCTAGCACGGTTATGCTCCACGCCTCGCGGGAAAAAAGGCTTGTGGAAGTATTCTCGAAGTTTCTGGAGAGACCTTCTGGAGAGCTTCTGGGCACACGTATTGGGAGACGCTGAGAATTTATCTCTCGGGGCAGATTTCCGGTTCAAGCAGGGCGCAGCGGCGCTGGAAAACGGAAGCCGGAATGAGCTCGGGGGTTAATCTGAAACCCTCCCAGCTCTCTACGAGTTATCCAGGAAGAACGTCCTGGCCTCGGCCAGGAGGGCGAGTACGCCGTGCCAGGGCCCAAGATGGCCTTGGCCTGGCAGGGTGGCGGCGGTGGTGGCGCACAGGTGAGTGACGCAAGAAAACGGAGTCGTTTGCGCGGACATTGGCGCGCAAGCTGCCCGCGCATCTCGCGCATAAGCGCCCTCGTCTCCAATGCAGCGTGCCGCGCTGGCGGCCCGCGTAAGCCACCGCGTAAGGTCGCTCTGCGTCACCTCGCGTAAGACCAGTTTGTTTTCGTCGCTCATGTGCAAGAAAGGAAGCACACATCGGTCACAGGAGCAGCCGTTTGGGCGGAGCGGTGCACCGCTGGGGATTTCCAGAGCGGAGGAGGGCACGTGAAAGGCTCGCCTCGCCTCAATTCCCTTTGCATTTCGGGTCGGACGAAGGGGGGGGGGATTGGGAAGGGGGGCGTAGCGGAATCTGCTGCATGCAGAAGGTTTCGGCCTTGCCGCCGGGCGCGTTCCTCAATGCGTGCATGGGCACCCGGAGGCTCCAGTAAAACCAGCTAGGTGAGTTGGTTCACTAAGCCCCCCACTTGCGGTCCCGTTTCGCCCGACCCCAGCATTGCTGCTCGCGAGAGGTGCGAGCAGGCGAGCCGCTGTGAAGGCTGGCGGGTGCTCCCAGCTGCCCGGGTGTCTTCTCGCCGCTTTCGGTGAAGCGTGAATTGGGGTTGTGGAGAGACGCTCAAGGGGTCTGTGGAGAGACGCTCAAGTCGGGGGCAACAATAGGCGGGATAGGCATAGGGGGGATGCATCGACCCCCAATCGCCCATTGATCGCCGATAGGGGTCCGATAGCTCCAACCTGCCCAGGAAGATGCGGATTCACTGTCGGAGGCCTATCGCCGATCTATCGGCGATGAATCGCCGATTCCAGGTCGATGCATCGCCCCCTGTGACAGCCCCCCCTATCGTTGCCCTTCATCAAGGCGCGCTGGTGGTGCAGCCAGGCCCCGTGCGGGAGTCCAGGCTCCTCCTGGCGCCGGCGCTGCCAGCTGCTTCTGGCCTGGCGCCGCGCCACGAAGGCCCCGGCCCTCCACACCGGTTCTGCCCAGCGTGCGGCCATGCTGGGGGAGGACCTGCTCTGATAATGTCGTAGTGCCAACATCGCAGAGCGGATTCGTTTCGGAAAACAATAGAATTGGCCCGGAGTGTTCTGGAGAGAGAACTTCGTTCCGGATTTCGAAGTGAATTTCGTGCGGATTTGGTTGGGCCAGGAATGAACACAACAAAAAAATCCGCGTGAAATTCATGTCGTTTTTCGCTCGCCGTCTCAGGGTTCTGCGCTGACCGAAATCCACGCAGGAATCCGCAGCGCAGCACGTCTGCAAGGTCGGTGCGGTGAAAAATGGGCCGCCTCGACGCCGAACTGCAGCAGGGAGGGGGACGCGAGGAGAAGGACGACGCGAGGAGAGGGAGGGAGGCCCCCCCGAAGGATCAGGCGATCGCAAACATGGATTAAGGGGGCGTGGATTAGCGACGGGTCCCGTTTCCATGGGAAATCGCGGGCTTCCGCCGCCGAACGAGGCGGCATTGGCCGCGTTTTGGGGAGGGCACTTCCCCCGATTCATGGATTTGGCAACCGCGCGCCAAAGCCATGGATCGCTAATCCATGTTTGCGCGCCCCCGAGAGGAGCGGGCCATGGCCGCTGTCAAAAAAGGACGGGAGCCTCCCAGGCCCGGGAGGGAGGTTTCCAGGGCGCGGGAGGTCCCCAGGAGGGCGTGCAAGTCAGAGGAGGGCGAGTTGAGACAACGGTAGTTGGTCCTCCTCCTCTTTCTCCTCCTCCTCCTCTTCCTCCTCCTCCTCCTCCTCCTCCTCGTCATCCTCCTCCTCCTCCTCGTCCTCCTCCTCCTCCTCATCCTCATCCTCCTCCTCCTCCTCCTCCTCCTCCTGGGTGAGCCCCTCGTCGCCACGACCTGGACGCAGCTCGGAAAATTCGCGCGTCGGGACCCTGGGAGGGGTCCAGGGTGAAGTCGGGCATGTCCCTCTACAGGAGGCAGATTCAAACTAGTAAAAAAATCGTATGCGGACGATGTTTTAACTGTTTTTGACGATTTGGAGGCGTTGTTTGACTATGTTTTATTTTTCTTCAAAATCTGCATGTAGGTGGCCGCGCCCGACCTAAGTCCAGGGATCGATTCTGACTGCCGTTGTCTCGACTCGCCCTGCTCCGGGCAGAGGCGCGGCCCCCCCCCCCATTCCCGCTGCTCCTCGGCCGCGGCGGGGACGCCTGGGAGGAGAGCGCCGTTCCGGGGGGGGCTATGGGCCACTGGGGATCGATGCCTCCCTCGCTAGACAAGCGCGCTCCACTGCTCGCAAGGGAACTGCTCGCGAGTGGCCCCGATCCGACGCGGGCGGGGGATGCGCGATGCACTACAGCGAGGCGAACACATGTTTTGCTGACGTTTGCGAGCAGGCACTTTGCGAGTAGTGGAACGCGCTCGGTGACTCACTTAGCCCACGGCTGCGCCCAGCATCCTGAGGCACTGCCTGCCCAGTGCAGACTCTGGAAGAGGGTGTACTGGTGCGTTTCTGCGGGCGGTCCAGACCGTCGCCGGTGTCTGCGAACTCCGATCTCCCAGGGTATGATGTTTCCAATCCCGGCGCTTTTCATCGGTTTCGGTCTCCGGGGCCCGTTGTTGGGCCCCAGGGCCATCAAAAATGAGCCCAGGACGAAAAACTACCCCAGAAAAGGCATCGGGACCTCTGGGGCCGCGGATCGAAGACATCACATCGGGTCGGACGACTTCGGAGTGGCAGGAAGATGGGGGGCCTGGGGGTGCGAAATCTGCTGCATGCAGCCGATCTCGGCCCCGCGCGCTGGGAAAGCCAGCTGCGTGAGCTGATCTGCTAAGCACTTCTTGAAGAACCCCCCTTCCGTCCGACCAAACTGGAGGCCACTGTCAGAACCATCACAGGGCTGGACCTAAACGCTGCTTTGCTGGACTTCGCCTGTGTTTTGTTTTTCGGTTTGGCAGGGATGTTACAGGAAAACGCGGATTCACAAATGTGAAGCGTAGTTAGTCTCTCTGCACCCTCCCTCCGCACTTGCTTGCATCCGTCTCACTTCCCCCTCTGCCCCCTTGTCTTCTCCGCAGCCTTTTGGGTCACAGGGGGGGCCGCTGCTGCTGCCGCCGCCGCTGGTTGCTGCTGCTGTTGCCTCTTGGCTCCTGCTGCTGCCCCTTCTTCCTCCTCCTCCCCCTCCTCCTCCTCCTCCTCCTCCTCCTCCTCCTCCTCCTCCTCCTCCTCCTCCTCCTCCTCCTCCCCCTCCGCCTCCTCTCACTCCAAGGGCCTGCGGGGCAGTCGTCGCCGCGGCAGCGTGGCGAAGTCTGAGGGCGCGGTGCTCTGGCAACCCCTCCCCGCCCCTTCCCCCTCCCTTCTTTCCCTCGCCCCCTTCTGGCCCAGGGGAGAGGGGCGACCGGGCGGACGACGACGCCCAGCGCTACCAGGCTCAAGCTCGACGTGCCCACATTCGTTCGGCTCCTGGCCCGCGCGCCCCGCCGGGCGCATGGCCCCGCGCCTGCATAGGTGCGCGCCAGTGCGCTCCCCGCCGCGGGTCCTTCGCGGCAAGCTCAAGACCCAGGGCCGCCGGGAGCAGGCCCGTCAGGCGCCCGCGCCCCGCGCCGCCGTCGCTGCGGCAGCGCTCCAGGCCCCGTCGGGCCCCGCTCTGGCAACCGCGCGGGTTGTGTTGCCGGTCGCCCAGGGGCTTTCCGAGGCCCCAGGCTGCGCCGGGGGGGGTCCCGCTGGGCAGTCTTGCGCCGCTGTGCCCGGGGGCAGCGGCAGCGCGCTCGGCTGCCCGCGTGCTGCTGCAACTCCCCGCGGGGTCCAGGCCACTGCTTGTGGTGCTCCGCGTGTGCTTGGCCCCGCTGAGGCCTGGTCGTCGTATTGGGGCGTGGTGGACAGCTTGCGCGGTGCTGCCACCAGACAGAACGTCGACATGATGACGGCGCTGAGCCGGGACAGGGGGTGCTCTTTCAGGCACCCAGATGGCGCCCCGCCCCGCGTGGTGCTGCAGGCCATGAGCGAAGCTCGTGCTCAAGGTGCGGACCTGCTCCGGCTGGCCGACACAGTTGGTGAGAGCCGGTTTCTGTGCAAAACGGTACCGTCTACACTATTTACATACGCGTCGCATCTGCGTATGGTTGCATGGGTTTCCGAGCTCTTGGGTGAGCCCCCGCTGGGGTGCAGTGTGCAGCACATTCGCCGCGTCGCGGCGGTGTGTGCGCGCGCGTCAACGCAGCGTGGTTGGTTGAGCGCGTGGGCCCTGGCGCACCAGGTGGCCGGCGTGCCGTGGCAGGGTGACCAAGATGTCATTTTGAAAGGCATCAGGCTCGGCACCGCGAAGTGCCGGACGCCCAGACTGCCGAGGCAGAAGGTTGATCGTCGGCTTTTGCGGCGTTTGCTCCGCCATGCGTTGGCGCACCAGCGACAGTGGTGGTACATCATCGCCGTCTTGGCATATAACTTTCTGTTGCGGATGCCCTCTGAGTTGTTCGCGCAGTGCAAGCGTGATATTGTACAGGTCGCTGGGGGGCGTTTTATCTATGGCCCCATCCGGCGAAAGCAGCGGGTGGATCTGCGCGCCCTTCATGCTTTTTGTTTGTGCGGCACGGACGAGGGCATTTGTTTGCACACTTGGCTTCCTGTGTGGGACCATGCGATCGCAGCTGGGGGCCCTCCGTTTGGCGGGTATACGCCTGCGACGTGGACGGCCGAATTCCGGCGCCACTTGCAAGCCGTCGGGGTCGCCAACCCGGAGGTGTGGTTTAGGCACGATGTCCGGCGCGGAGCTGCGAGCGACGTCTTTGCGGCCTCCGGAGTCGAAGCCATGCTTTCCCGTGGTGGCTGGCGCTCTGTCACGTCCGCGCGACCGTACGTGTCGGGCGACGAAGTTGCAGCTGGCCTGCTCGCGCAAGGGGTCATCGATGATTCGGGCCCCGAGAATTGAGCGCGGCCACGTGGGCGCGCTTGCCCGCTGCACCGTGGCCACCCCCCTTTTCCGTTCCATTGGCATTGGGGCCGGGGTGTGTCCTCGTGTGCGCGACTTGGCCAATGAAGGAAAGAACGCGTAGGAGGAGGAATAGGAGCAGGAGCTAACGCGGATTCACAAATGTGAAGCGTAGTTAGTCTCTCTGCACCCCCCCTCCGCACTTGCTTGCATCCGTCTCACTTCCCCCTCTGCCCCCTTGTCTTCTCCGCAGCCTTTTGGGTCACAGGGGGGGCCGCTTGTCCCGCCCTCCCACCCTCTTTTTCCCTCCGGCGCCGCTGGGCCGGGGTGTGTCCTCGCGTGCGCGCGACTTGGGCCGGGGTGTGTCCTCGTGTGCCGGGGTGCGTCCTCGTGTGCGCGACTTGGCCAATGAAGAAAAGAACGCGTAGGAGGAGGAATAGGAGCAGGAGCTAACAGGCAGAGCAAAACGAAAAACAAAACGAAAAACAACGTTTAGGTCCAACCCTGAATCATCATCCTCGTGCTGTGTGAAGGCGTCGTGAATGGTGCATGTGCTCGTGGTGTTGTCGATGGTGAAGGTGTCGATGCTGGGGTTTGCGAGGTCCCCGTCCACGCAGACTGCGACTCCCCACGGCGCTCGAGTTCGACTCGAATTTTTTCACAGGTGTCGAGGAAATGGATGTGGAGGCTACAGCAAGCGGCTTGAATAAGTAACACTTCGTTTTCAAAAGGGGCTCGGTCGTTCCTTAGGTTCGCATGCGTTATTTATCGTTCCTTACGCGTCATGTATTATATTGCGTTCCTTATGCGTTACCCCTTGGAGAAAGAGGGCTTCGATCCTTATTTATCGTTCCTGAGGTCAGGCCGATGATTGTATGGCCGCCCGCCTCGGTTCCCGCCTCGTTCCCCCGTGTCGCGCCCTCCAGGCTCTTGGCCAATTTTTCCCGGAGGCTGTCGGATCGCAGCCACGGGCGAGTTCGGGTCCCCCGGTCGGGAGGGGGCAGGCCGTCGGAGAGGATGCGGACGCGGCCCTCGATGAGGTCGGGGTCTCCGCTCCATCGTGAAGGAGCGTTGGAGCTCGTCCGAGAATCAGGTGGGCGAGCCCATGTCAGTGATTGGAAATGTGGATCGGAGGCGCCCACAACAGGGGGTAGCGCGAGGGCGGCGGCCCTCTAAGAAGGCAGAGGCCTTTGTAGAGTACCCCTGGAGGCTTTTGGAACAACCGAAAAATAGGTACGGGAAAGAGAAAGGAAAGGAACAGAGGAAACTCAGAGCGTGTATTACCTACCCCGCTTTCGCTTCCAGGAAAAACCAGGTCATACCACGCGCCTCCTCGTCAAGCGGCCTGACCAGTACAGGCCGTAGTTTGGCATCGCTTGGTATCTCTTGAAAGCGAGGGTGGTCAAAGGCGAGGTAGGTTTGTTTTCCCCCTAGGGAGGTGCGCGCAAGGACGACGAACAAACGACGACCACGACCGCCCGCGCGCGCCCGGCTCAAACAGGCTGCCCCCCCCCTGTCTCCGCCCCAGAGGTTTCCGAGAGGGTTTCCTGGAAGCCGCCAGGCCCTTCCAACAAGGCCCTCGCATTCTACGAAGCGGCCCCGTCGCTTGCGAAGCCCACTACCCTCGCGCCACCCCCCTTGCTGGCGCCGCCCACTTGATGTGTGCACTGACCAGAAAAGCCCACCCATGTGAACTACGACCGCGTCGCCCTCTCCTGTCAGGTGTACCACGGTGTCGCCTCCAGCGTCGAGGAACGATACCTGCGCGCCCCAACTTGAAAAAGGGTCAGGACGGTCGCGAGATGCTGCACACGGCCCTAAGTCAACGGGGTCTTTGGCGGTAAGATGGACGGTCGCTGTAGGAAATCGTCCGCCGAGTCCTCCTCGTCGCCCTGCCCCTCGCTGTCGGCCTCCTGGCAAGATGACGCCAGGCGGAGCTTGGAGTCGGGGACGCAGTCGGCGCTGGAGGGGCTGTCTCGTACTCCTCGCCGCGTGAGCTCGGGCGAGCGCTCTCTGCGGTGAGTTCGTCAGGGCGTCCGCGGGGTCGTCTACCCCGTCCGCGCCCTGCCACCTCGTCCCCGGTTCCGTGGGCATTTCGGTTGGGCCTGAGCTCAGGCGACAGGAGTGCGGCAATGTCCAGGTTGGGGCCGTTGCTGGTTTCGCAGGCGAGTTCGTTTGTCATCGACGTCGCGGTGGATGACCTCGTTGGTCGTCTCGGCTGTCTTCGAAGCTCTGTGCACCATGGCCCCACATGTGCACCGAGTGCGACGTTGCACACACTACCGCTGGTGTTCTAGGGCATGCGCCTAGACGAATTCTGTAGCCTGCGGGTTGAGCTTGCCATCTCAGTCGAAGCTGTCATGATTGGTGTGATTAATGGTGGGGCAGTTATGATTAACGTGCCGAGGCGGCTGTTCGTTGAACCTTGGATACTGCGTCCATGGCCCTTGGAATTTAGGGCGTCGGCCCCGCCTTCATAGTCACGTCTTGTGCCGTCCCGATGCGTAGCCTCGATGGCGACGCAACTGTAGGCCAAACACCCGCGGCGGCACGAAGATGACCGCGGTTCTCGCCCCGCGGTCTGGGCCGCTGAAGTGTTTTTCTCCAGGGCGGCGACGCCAGGGCACGAAGATGACCGCGCCTCGCGGGGCGCTCAGCGCGGAAATTGGGTGATGTGTGTCCTGGCGTGGCCGGTGTTCGTGTTGGGGGTTATGATTTCCCATCCTACTTCAGCCCTGATCGCGAAAAAGGAAAAAGATCACGTGTCGGGCCCTGGGGGACATTCGCCAGACACTGTTTCGGCACTTTTCCGGAAGCTCGAAATTGCTTCTGGGATGTGGTTCTCAAGTACGACGGGAGCAACATCTAAGTTGGGGGTCTCTGTGGCAGCCCTTCCTGGGTGAGGCAGCCACTCTGGCCGTGCTGGCCGTGCGGGGCGAGCATGCCCCGTGCGGCGCGTCTCGACGCTCGGGGGCCTCCCAGCCAGGAGGTGTGGGGTCCTTTTCGTGTGGTTCTGGTTGAATACAGTGGAGACCCATGCCAAGAAACACCCTGCTCGCCTCCAGGGTGCCCTGGGTTTGGGGGGGGTCGTTGTTTTTGCCGTGGAAAGGCGTGACGTTCCCACACCAGAAATCACTGGACGTCCTGGGCTTTCAGGGTTGGGTTTCTTGTGGGGATTTCTTGTGGTCGAGCCCCTATTGTACGCTTGGGGGCCTCCCAGCCGGGAGGTGTGGGCTCCTTCTCGTGTGGTGTGGTTCTGGTGGACCATGGTGGTGGGCGCCCCAGGCGCCGCGCCCGCAGTCGCGGCTGGACGCCCTGCCTGGGCGCCGCCTCGGCGCGAGCCCAGGCGATCGCGCATTGGGCCCAAGTGGCTACGGACCAGGCTCCTGTTTACGTTGGACAAACGTTGATAGTGAATCCGTCGCGTCATGGACCAGGTTCCTCCTCCTCCTCCTCCTCCTCCTCCTCCTCCTCCTCCTCCTCCTCCTCCTCCTCCACATCCTCGTCCTCCTCCTCGTCCTCCTCCTCGTCCTCCTCCTCGTCCTCCGCCTCCTCCTCCTCTTCCTCCTCCTCATCCTCCTCCTTCCAACCCCCGCGCCGGCCACCAGAGGAGGAGATTCCACGGCCCGGCTGGCGCTGAGTTAGCGCTGAGGGTGGCGGCGCCTTGGCGGCCTTCCTGCCTGACTGCCCCCCCTCCTCCCTCCTCCCTCTTCGACAACTGCACAATATGAATATGTAACGCCCCTCGCGGGAGTAGAAACCAGTTTGATCAAGTTTATTATTTGGAGTGTCGTGCTCTCTCCTATTTTTACTGTTCCCTCTGAGGTTTCTTGTTCTTCGCTCTCCTCCTCCTCCTCCTCCTCCTCCTCCTCCTTCTCCTCCTCTGCATTCTCGCCGTCGTCCGCCTCCTCCTGCTCTTCTGGTCCTCCCCTCCCTCCTCGTCCTCCTCCTGCTCCTCCTCGTCTCCTGCCTTTCCTCCACTGCCTACTCGCCCGCCTGCGGTCACACCTCCTCCCCTCTCCTGATCCCCGCCCTCCCCTTCCTTTTTCTCACCGTGGAGGCTGTGGGAACGCTGGAGGGACCAGGAAGGCCCCAGGAGGCCACAGCCCGCCAGAGGAATTTCCCACGGGCGGCCCCAGGGGCACGACGGCGTCAAGAGCGGGAACGTCGAACTGCAGCCTGCGTGTCCCGGGGCGTCCGTCTTTCGGCCGTTTCTTCTGTCCTGTCCCCTCCTGCACGGTGGCACAACTCGCTACCCCCGTTCGGTTAGCTCTCCGCCAGCGCAGTTGCTCTGCCTAGGCGCCGGCGCAAAAATGTCCCCGGGCGTCCGTCCTGGGGTCGGCCCCCAACGCTACTATGCGATCTGGCTTCTGGCAGTGATGAGCAGCGCTTCCCCTGTGCGGAGCAGTGGAAGCCTGAGTAGTTCCGGACCGCCGGCGGGCCAGCTGGCCAAACACATATCGACGTAATTATGTGTTGCTGACACTTGCGCATTGGCAAAGCATTGCCTAAATCATTGCCCGATTTGATTTTGGGAATGTCCAACGCACCCTGTCTGCAACCTCGAGGGTTCCGAAATCGGTCTATCAGCAGTTCGGCTGCGTGCTGTATCTCAATTGGAAAGCCTGCTTCTGACACGACACGATACTCGAACAATTTGGCTGTGGCTGTTTACTGCAACGGCCACTGCTTTGCGGGGTGTCGAATTGGTTTTCGACTGCATCCCGATATTGAAAGCAGCTACAGAGCTAGCAAGCAGGTGTGTTTGATTTTGCTGTTCACTTCATTTCGAGACCTGGAGCACCAGGCAGTTAGCATGGAATACATGGCCAGAACAACACACATGTCACCTCGAAGGCGCGAAACCAGCGCACCAAAAAAACTACATTCGAAAAGGGAGCTATGCACTTCAACGGGCGATGTGTGCTGAGCAGTTGTTCGACCAGATATCCAGACTTAGGGCAGTTACAGCAAAGCTCTGAGGCATTGACCATGGATCAACTTACCACGAGATGGCCGCAGCCCCAAAGGTGCTGGCATCGTTGCGCTAGCAGAGTGAGCTTCCGAAAATTAGTTCCGCACATCGTTCCGCCGATCTGTTGTTCGATCTCATCTCGGAGCTCGGAGCAGATACAGAACCTTGGAGCTGCAAAAACCAATAAGCCACCGATACCGGTAGAGCATCAGCTCGAAATTATGTGTACCGCAGGTTCAGATTGATGATTGGCGTGTCACAGAACAGGAAGCTCGAACAGCTTCTGGCGATAAGCAAGGATAGCAGTTCACCGCTGGCATTTGGTGGAGACGGTGTCGAGGGTGAGTTTGTGCTCTTTTGGTCGCCCCGCCGAGCCCTCAAAAGCCTCACGCGGCGCTTCAGAAGTCACTTTGGAGCAGGACACCTTTTCCCAAGACGCCCTGGCGCGGTCTTCTCGCGTTTGTTCGATTTGGCCTCCCCTGGCCGTCCCGGCGGGCCCACTAAAGAAGCCCCTCGCGGGGCTTGAAGGGCGACGACAAGCTCGAGAAGCGAAGCGTTTCTCGGGAGATGCACTGGGGGGCGGTGCCCCAGCACGGCTGTGCAACTTGACCTCCCTTGGCCGTCCCGCCGGGCCTTCAAAGCAGCCTCGCGCGGGGGCCGAGGGGCGAGGACAGTGGCAGGAACGGGCGCTCTGCCCGTCGCCTGCTCGGGGGCAGTGCCTCGGCGTTGTTGTGCGATGTGGCCTTCCTTGGCCGTCCTGCCGGGCCTTCTGGAAAGCGCCATGCGGGGCGTGAAAAGTGGCAACGGTTTTGCGGATGATCTTCGTTTTCCCGCGGGGGGAAACAAACGCGCTCGGCGGAGCGCCAGAAGTGACGAGAATGTCGGACTGGGTGATGGAGGGCAGGTGGCCAGGGTGGGAGGGTTGGCTGGGTGCGAGGGTCGCTGGTTGGGTGTTTGGGTTAAGTCGGACCTGTCCCTCTACAGGAGGAATATTCAAAAATGGTCAAAAAAATAGTCCAGCGACTATTTTTGGAGCATTTTTTGACCATTTTGGAGTATTGTTTTAGCATTTTCTATGTTTCGCCGAAAATCCCCCTGTAGGGGAGGACACGCCCGACTTAATGTTTGGGTTGGCTGACTGGGTTTGGTTGGTTGGGCTGGCCGGTTGGGTTGGCTAGGGCGATTGGTTCGATTGCTCTTCCCTCGCCCCCCGAAGGATCCCTCGCCCCGGCGCGGGCCACACTTCTTGGTTCGAGTGATTCCTGGTCGCTGTCGCCCCCCTCATTTTCCCCCCCCCCCCCGCATTCCCCTGGTCCTCCTGCTCCTCCCGTTCCTGGTCCTGTCGTTGCTGCTCCTGCTCATCCTCCTCTTCCTCATCCTTCTCCCCTGTCCCCTGCTCATCCTCCTGCTTGTCCGCCGCCTGCTCCAGTGCACACAGCTCACCTTGTTTCACACTGCGCTGAACACGATGGGATCATCCTGAGGGTTCCGGGTCCGCTGTGACACCCGTTGGCGGACAGGGAAAAGCATTTACGCAATGGGAAGGGATGGGAGGGAGGGCTACAGTCAACCCGCATAGTAAGGATGAACGATTGTCCAAGGTTACCCCTGCATCCTTCCCCGTCGGCCCATCGTTGACCGCTTTCGCTGGCCTTCCAAGGCCCTTGCGTCCTCACCGCGCGTCCTTGTTGAACGGGCTGACTCTACCCATCGGTCGTTGAAAGTAGGTGCTTTAGGATTCCGAGATCCCAATCTACTTTAAGCGCCTTCCTACTTCAATGATCGAGTGGCTTCACCTTTTCCTTCCTCTCTAGGGGGCGGGCGGACACCCAATCTGCTTTCAACGCCTTCCTGCTTCACGCTTCTTCCGGCCGATGGGCACCCCCTCCGCCATCGCTACGGCCGGCGCTGGGAGCGGCGGCCGCGGCGCGCCTCCCGCGTTCCCCCCCCCGCCCCCCTTTTGCCCCTCCTCGCCGGCCCCCTCGCCTTCCCCTGTGTCTGCTCTCCCGCGGGCCGGTGACGCGTGACCGTCGGTCATTGAAAGTGGGTATGTCTAAGTCGGGCGTGTCCCTCTACAGGAGGAATATTCAAGATAGGCAAACAATAGTCTGGGGACGATTTTGTGTTGCATGTGTTGCTTATTTTAGTGCATTGTTTCAGTAGTTTTGATTCTTGGTTCACTCCTGTAGGGGGACATGCCCGACCTAAGGGTATTTGTGGACTCCCAGATCCCCAATCTACGTGAGCCGCCTTCCCACTTCAAGGGTGAAGCGGTGGTCCCTCTTCCCTCATATTTCAAGGGGCGGGCGGAAGCCCAGTCTATTTCCAGCGCATTCCGGCTTCATGTTTCTGCCAGCTTCTCATCGCGCCAACATCGCAACGCGGCTTCCGTTCGGAAAACGATAGGATGGGCCCAGAGTGTCCTGGAGAATTTCGTTCCGGATTTCGAGGTGAATTTCGTGTGATTTTTTTTGCCAGGAATGAAGACTAAAACAATTCCACGTGAAATACCATTCGTTATTCACGCGCCGTTTCGGGCAGAAATCTACGCAAAAATCCACGCAGAAATCCGCTGCAGCACGTCTGCAAGGCCGGTGCAATGACACTTTCTCCGACCGACGGGTAAGAGTGACCGTTCGCCGGAGGAACTTCTGGTGCGGGGCCACAGGGGTGTTGCCAGCACTGGCCAGCGTGCTTGCATTGCGATGATTCGGCCTCCCCCGCGGCCCCCGAGGAAGCCGCGCACCAGAGGTCACTCCTGCCTGTGGGGGTCGCTCCTGCGCGCAGCCGAGCGGGGCGGCCGCGGCCGCGTGCAGCGCGCTGCTCCTGTCGCCGAGCGCGGCGCCTGGCGCACCTGCAGAGCGCGAGACCCCGCGGCGGAGGCAAGATCGCCGGGAAGGAAGCGGGTCTTCAGGCGTAGCGCTGTCCCAGAGGCGACGACAGAGGCGAATAGCCCAAGGGGAGAGCGATACATCTACCCAGGGGCGCCGATGATCTATATCTTCGACAGGGCTCCCGGGCGAGTACGCGTAATGCCTGCCCCTGGGCTATTCGCCCTTATGCTCGCCGCCGATGGTCTTCGGGCCCCCTGGGCCCTCCGCGGGCCCAGAGACCGGCAGAAAGCGGTGCGACGCGAAGGATCGGTCCCGGGGAAAGGCTCGGGGGCCCCCAAACGGGGTGGTGCGCACACCGTGCGGTGAGTCGGTGGGGATTCGGGGTCACCGCACGGTTGTGGGACTCGGGTCGCTCTCCGAGGGCTTCTCGGGCGACAGGGGCCTCCGAGGTCCCAAGACCGTGCGGTGACGGACCGTGCGGTGAGGTCTTGGGGGATTTCGAGGTCGCCGCACGGTCTGTCACCGCACCGGTTCGGGACTCCAAGCAGGGCCCGTCTCCCTCACCTCAGGACCCGTTTCCTTCGCGCCAGAGAGGGAGAGAGAGGGCGCGCCGCGGCGGGGGTCTATTGGGCTGGGCCTGCCACGGGCATCGGCTGTGCGTGCGGGTGGCCCTGCCCTGCGCCAGAGCGGCACGTGGTGGGGGCCCTGCGTGGCCCCCCGAAGGTCGGAGGCGACGATAGGGGCGAATAGCCCAGGGGGGAGCAATACATGCATCCAGGAGAGAGCGACGACGGGGGCGAATACCCCAGGGGCGAATACCCCAGGGGCGCC